CAAAATTCCTCCATCAAATCCTCCCATCCAAGCGCATCCTAACAGAAATTGTATAAGATTTCACATTCTTATATTTTTTTAGAAAAAGTCAAACCTAACTATCCCACATGTTTTGCGACTGATTCGAAACTCATGAATCGAAGATTTCAAATCCATAATAACAAATCCATTAAACTTAAAATTCATCTTATATCGAGTTACTTCAAATGAAATCTAAGGAAACGATGCAAAACTCAAATGCAATAAAACTTTGATCCCCGAATCAAATAAGCCATATCGAATTCCAGAAAAAATAAATATATCTTTCGGTACCTTTGACTTTTTGTTCGTAAGCGGCTTTGTCTCGCATCATCAAAGCTGCAGCTTCTCCATTCAATGGGTCGGAAGGATTTGGATACAACAAAAGCTGCGGCAGAAATACCTCAAACACATTCACCAAGTCTACAAGCAAATTACGTACGTACATTGTCAATAAAAGAAATAAGTACGCAAAATTAAATTAAATTAAAAAAAATTACGCTTTAATCACTATTTACCAAACATGGGGCTCCAGGTCTGGTTGATAACATCCAAACACACCGATCCCGACCTGAATTTTGATAACGCACAAGAGAAGAAAAAAAAAGTCAATACAATTATTTTTTTTAATTTTTTTTAAGATATTTGTGGATCACTTACGTTTCGTCGACATTTGGGTGATACATCTTGTTAATAAACCCGATTGACGGAGATTTATACGGGTATGCATCGGGAAGTTCAACCCTCACTTTCCACACACCACCATGGTAAGGACCTACGAGTTAGTTAGTTTCATTGAGAACATTTAACAAACAGTTGTCGATCAAAAAAACGTAACGAAAAAAGATAAATCATTTGTAGAAGAGCGAGCCGTCTCGAATTCTTCGAGACCCACGTGTCTTTCGACCTGTAACAATCAATCCCACATACCCTAAATAGAATTGATCTCAAATTCTTAGTTCAAGAATTGATAAATAGAAAATCAAGAATGATACAACCAATAACATATACTCTGATTCAAATTGATACCAGGAAAAAAAAAAAAAAAAAAAACCCAACAATCAAGAACCTTAAAAAAGCAAAAATTTCTTCATTAAAATAAAAAAAAAATTAAAAAAAAAATCTAAAATTGAGAATTAGGGTTTGAGGAATTACTGTCACTGGGTCCATGGAAATGAACATAGAACTGATGCATGCCATCATTAATCATCTCCACCTTGTAATCACTCATCATCCTATTTCATTAACCAACAAAAAAACAAAACCCTAATTAAACAATATATAAATCAAACAAATTTATCCCCAAAAATCCAAATTACAGCCAAAAAAAAAAAAAAAAAAAAAAGAAAAAAAAAGAGGGAGCTTTAAAGAAAAAAAAATTACAGCTTCATTAAATCCATCTCACGCCGCTTGGTTGGGGAAGACATGATTTGATTATCTGATTAGCTCTCAAATTCTGGGTTTTTTTTTTTTTTTTTTATAAATTATTTAATTTCTGCAAGAAGCAAAAAATCAATAATTGAGTTTGCTTGTTCAACTGCAAGAAGCAAAAGGAGGAGAGCTCATCAATCAAGAAAAGGAAAAAATTAAAAAAATGGGGTTGTGTGAGAAGTACATTTATGATTGTTTGGCACCACCTATCGATACATATAAATTTATAATAATATTGTGTGTGTATCTATAGATTTATACGTATTATTATTGTGTGTTCATGAGCACGTATATTTATTTATTTGCGTATGATTTTTAATTTCAAGATTCTTATCCTAATTTTGCCTACCTACAATGCACTCTCTACATGTGGGACCCACTTACTTAAATTTTCATTAATTTATTATCAAAAAATGAAAAATTGGCAAAAAAATTCGACAAAATATGTTCTTACAATTAAACCTCTACATATTAAATTATTCGCTATTAACAAAATTCTATTAATTTAAGAGAATATTAAAAATTCGAATTAGTAATTTAGCAGGTTATCACGGAATCGGGACCGGAAGAAATTAGTATTTAAGTAATGTTATTAATTTATCGATTTTTTGTTGTAATTGTTTTTTCCCTTTTATTTGGTGTGAGATATTCATAAAATAATGAATATTTGCATTTTAAAAATATATATTATTGATTTCCCATCATTTTTGTATAAATATTTTAAATTTCCAATCATGTCATGGCAAATGTGATTATTATGATCTTGATTAAATGGATCTTTGTTATATATTGTTAATTGAGTATTAATTATTAAGAGATATTTAGTGGTATAGTTGAAAAGTGCAATCAATATTTTTTTTAAGCCATCAATGTCAAACTAGTGGTTGAGAGAGGAATTTTGCTTTAGTTTCAATAATTAGTGAGAATTTTAAATAAATATTAAAACATAATTTGTCACTCATGTTTCACCCATACTTGTTAATTTTTAATTCAAGACATGTTCACATAATCACACACATAAGTTTAATCTATTGTAATTTATAATTTAGAGGGTGTTTGGCTAAGCTTATTTTAAACAGCTGATAAGCTCTTACGTCTGATAAGATGTTTTAAGAGCTGATAAACTGTTACATCTTATTTTTAGGATTAATTTTTAGAGTGTTTGGATAATGATCTTATTTCCTATTTTTATTCATTAAAAGATCTTAAATAAAAAGGTGGGGTAGAGGTACTTATTTAAAAAGATCTTATTTGCTCTCCAACAGCTTATTTTAAAAAAAAAAAATAAGATCTTTTTCTAAAAATTTACCAAACACTCATGTTTCACCCATACTTGTTAATTTTTAATTCAAGACATGTTCACATAAGTTTAATCTATTATAATTTATAATTTATTAGGCAAATCGTGTCGGAACAAGTTGCAAAGTTACCGCGATACTAAAAGTTTACACGAGCTCGAGTGTAGTAGAGAATATCATCAAATAATTAATCTTTTATCGACTTTAATAAGTAAAATAACATAAATATTGTAAATAAAAAAATAAAAATTGAATACATTAATAATTGAGTGAAAAAAAAAAATTACGGCCACCCCTGAGTTATGGTCAAATTACGGAAACCCTCCTACTATTTGGGTAATTACAGTCACCCCTCAACTATGCATTATCTTACGAAAATACCCCTCTAGAGGTAATTTAAGATGTTAAATCGGTAATATCGAATCGAAATTTTGGTACACCAACATTTCATACTATTTACCGAACTGAATATACGATTTGGTTCAGTAAATAACCGAATTACATAAATTTTATGTAAGAATATTTAAAAGAAGGGGGTGACTGTAATTACCCAAACAAAAAGGGTTTTTTTCGAAATTTAGTCATACCTTAGAGATGGCCGTAATTTGCTCCTATAAAATTACTTTTTAGGAAGGTGGCTAATATATACAAGATATAATATAAATATATATAATATTAACTAATAGTTAATAACAAAAAATATGGGGGGGGCTGAGGCCCCCCTCCCTCCCTACCCCTAGTTCCGCCATTGGGCGTAAGGGTCCAGAGCGCTGCCATTCTCCGAACCACTGTCGTATATATCCCGACGGTTGTTGTTCCCGCTGCCGCCACTGCCGCCGCCATGGTGTTGCTTCCGCTCGTGCTCCGCCGCCTTTTCTACGGCTTTGTGGACATGAAGATCCATTGCAGCTTCCGCTTCCTTCGCCATTCGTACCTCGTGAGCCACTTCAACTCTCGCTTTCGCCAATTCTTTCTCCGCCTAATGCACGAAAAATAAAAATGCTTAAATTAATTGTTTAACGTGTCGATCGGTTGGCACTATTAAGTCGGGTCGATTTTGCCATTATTAAGTCATGATGACTAATAAAACTAGGAGTTTGTAACATATTCCTTTATCAAGATATGAAAATTAATTCGAGCACACAGTAAAAGTTGAAACCTGCAATTAAATGTTATATATTCATTGAAATTAGGGATGCATATGAGCTAAATGCCGTTTCATTTGTGGTAATATTATTTCGACTTTAAATGTACTTTTGACCATTTTTCAGTCCGAATTTTGCAAAATTCGAATTTTGTAGACTTTTTGGTTGGCTTTTATAATTCAACTTATATCAGTTAGATAATTGGATGTCGTGTAAGAATGTTCTGCATTAATATAATGAATAAATATTGCTACGCCTTTGATATTTTTGAGATTCAGTCTTTAACTCATTCATGCATTACTTCATTCATGCAAATTCAAGTTTGAGTTTTGCCAAATACAATCTGCCAATGAAGCTACACAGTATGTATATTTAAACGCAATTTACGAAGGAAAAAAACACAATAATTTAGCATAATAATAAAATAAAAAAACAATAATTTGTTACCTTTTCCTCCTCTCTTGCTTCAGCCTTGGCTTTTCTCATTGCACTCAAATCATTCAACTTGTCTTTGATGGCCTGCATTTTTTCTTATTTTCAAATTTTCTTTATGCAATAATTAAATTTTAAATTGGGTAAAAGTGACATGTATAAATAGGCAATGGCTAATTGGATGATGGACGGTCCAGATTTCCTGTAAATTAGATCTCATTTTTTCTAATTAACAATGGTTGAAAAACATGACAAATGTTTGATCATCGAGAGTTTCTTTCCTACTAACTGAAGTTTGTTTTTAAATAATGGCCATAATAAAATGCCAAAATTGGGGTTTCTTGATACTTGCCAAGTAATTAATTAATCCCCATTTTTTAATGTATTTTTAGGTTATTGTCGTTGATGATGAATTTTGAGAGTGTTTGCACTTCTGAGCTTTTTCTGCTTACTATCTGTTTTTAGGTGTTTAAAAAATCAATTTTTACTTTTACTTCTCTAAAAATAAGTTGTTTTAAGCTAATTTTAAAAAGAATCTCTAGGCCTCCCATTTCTATTTAAGTTCATTTTCCAGCTTATTTGCAAATACCCCAACTTTAACAAATAAGCACTTAATATTTACTTAAACTCGCACCTATTGACTTCTGCTTTTAAATAAGCTTTTGCAAACACACTGCGATGTAATTTGAAACAGCCCGGAGTAATTAATAACACCACTTTACCAAGATTAAGAAAAAAACAACTTAAATAGCTCCCCATAAATTATCAATAAATTTTGATAATAAACAACCCTCTTATTTCACAAATAAATATAATCTTTGAATAACAAATCCTCCTCCATTGTCACACACGCCATGGAAAATATAGCAAAACCACATTTCACATACACACAAACTAGCTCCCTCGATAAGTGGAAAACGAAAACGGAGAAAGCAACAACGGAACATGAAAATGCTCCAATTTCTGTGATTCCCTCACTTTGAACACAATCGAGACGTAAGGGAAAAAACCCTCCGGATTGTACATTCCCGTGTTGAAACTGATTCGATACACACCTGGATTCAGGGCATCGACCGTTTTCATCAACTGACCGCTCCTCCCATCTCTGTCCGTAACGGAAGAACCCTCGGAAATCCAATTGGCAGAATCGAACCCACCAAACAACGGCTGAGATTCAACGGGGCCCCACTTCTCGAGACGCACTTCGATGCCAGCAGCTGGGGTCCCACGAGCCAAATCTAGGATGTGGGTTGTGATTGGTGGACGTGTTCTTGTGGAAGGTTGAGGTGGCTTTTGAATTTCATTTGCATTTGCATTTGCAGCAGTCAAATGTCCTCCGATAACGCCAACGCGATCTTCTACATTTCAACAAAACGTACATCAGAAAAAAAAAAAAATGAAACGTACGATAACGGAAGAAGAATTTACTTCTTAGTGAATTTTTCATCTTTGCCTTTCTTTTTCTCTGCCTATTTTGTAGTATATCGAATTCACTAACGGAACAATAAATCTAAAACGAGTAAAGCTATAGCAATAGAGCAACTTGCGCTCGTCGTTTTTTCAGGGTTTTTTGAAGTAATAAATAAGTGAAAGTGTTGATAATCATCTCTCAAACGAGAACAAGAAAACTCGAACCTTTTTAAAGGATGTTTATTTCAAGCCCTTGTAATTTTCTGTCCAAAAAATCTACGTAAAAAGCTTTTACATGCATGTCATAGTTCTTCGTAATCTTGAAAAACACTAGAATAATAAACTAAGAAAAACAACGACCAACAGAAACTCCACACTAGAAACGGAAAAAACCAATTTGACAGAGAACCTCCTGCTTTCGTCACCATATCTGCGGTATGTGCGGCCTTGGTGTTAGCCGAAAATAGCTTTGAGAGACGTAATTCGGTTATTTTCATTTGTTCTTGCGCTGCAAGCTCGAACTCAACTATAGGTCTATTATGATATCTTTTCTGCAAGAAATACAAAAATAAAGAGGTGAGCAAAAAAAAAATTAAGCTATTAATTCGTTATTGCCAGTTAATTTATGTTTAGGCTCGTGTATTGATGCCGGAAAATGAATATTTTTAGACCAAAGTGTGCAAATTAGTTCTCTAAGTATAAACTATTAAGACTTGAACTACACCAAAAAAAATTTGCCAACAGACGAACCAACAAAATCGGACTTTAAAAATCCTAAAATGAGAACTCCAAATGTATAAAAATAAAAATAAAAAACCCATAATGGGGTCCGAAAAAAATCTTTCATTACTATTTTATGAAAGAAATCTTGAAAAAACAAATATCGGCAAGGATCGTATAAAGGAATGCAACAATTATACCTTCATCTCAGCAAGTATCTCTGGGGTACTTCTGCCCGATGCAAATATGAGAAAGACAAACCCGAACTTCTGCCTATAACGAACGTTCCAGTCATATAGCTCCTGAAAAATAAAGTGAGACAAACTTATTAAATACATGCAAGAATAGAATAAATTACAAATAAAGAAAAGAAAAAAATATTTTTTTCCAAATAACAATTACAATTCTGATTTGTTTCAGTTGACTTAAACTCGTGTTATTCAAGTTGAGTATATGTTTATTCACATCTCTCGTTTTGTTTCTTGATTCTAATCTTTCTAGATTTTGTTAGGACTGAGCAAAATGTTAAAACAGAAAGAAAACGCCAATGAAATCTAAATAAAGTCAATAACATAAAAATCTGACGAAATTGCTCTGCCGAATACTAAGAAAAAAAATTCAGAAGTTGATAACAAAAAGTTTCTGGCAAACATAGAGTATCCGGGTCCGGGAACATATTATTTTTAAACATTGCAGTAAAACTCGTTCAAATTAAGCTTCAAAATGCAGTAACTAACGCATTCTAGTTTGCGATACCTGTAACGTAGAGTCGGTAGCAGTAGCTAAAGCAGTAGATTGCTCTCCCTTACTCCACCTGTCGTCAGCAACGCAAATTTTTTATTCATGTGACTAGATATGCAAAAATAATCGATGATCCCACCACACTGAATAAACTGCCAATTGTAAAATCGATATACCTAACCCTCCACAACTTATATTCGACTCTGGTTTATTTCCCTTTATGGAAACCAAGATACAACACCATTCTACAATACAAGTGGGCAATGCATACAGGATTCAATCGAGCAGGACATAAAATATCATCAGGGACGTAAAATAGAATACCAATTGCAAATAACTTTTCAAGAATGATTTTCTCAATTACAAATAAAGCTTCAATAAATACGTAACGAGGCTACTTTCTAACTTCACTGTGGCAAACAAGATCACTAAAGCATACCGAATCTTCAAAATCATCGAGTTCGGTCCAAAATTTATCCGGATTCTCTAATTCCAATCAGGTTAATCATTTAAATTTGGGATAAGCAAAAGCACTTCGTAACTTTTTTTTTTCTTACATAACAAATCATATAAACTACTTTTAATTCTGACATTTTGCATTCACCAAAAGGAATACAGAAAAAGAAGGGTAAATTACAACCACCACTAAAGTATGTTCAAATTACGAAAAAACCCCTAATGTTTAGGTAATTACAACCACCCCTCAACTATAAATCTTCTTACACGTCCACCCTTGCGGTGTCAAATTTAGTGGAATCTTCTAGATTATATGGAATATTCTCAATTTTGTACCCATTTTATCACATTCGAGCTCCGCATTTTGAAGCAAAATGATCATAAGATGTGTTTTTTGGCTCGTAAATATCAGAAGAAACTGCATTTTTTGCCCAAAACGGGTACAAACTAGAGAACATCCACGGAATCTAGAATATTATGTTGAATTCGACACCATAAGGGTGGACAATTGGACATGTAACAAGATTCATAGTTGAGGATAGTTGTAATTATCCAAACATTAGGTTTTTTTTTTTGTAATATGACCGTCCGAGGAAAGTATGAGAAAACTGAACTGTGCACTGGTTGGGCTTTTATGAGTCTGCGAAGGACTTTCACCAATCTGAGGATGCGCAGCGAACGCTTCTAGCCATCCATTCACATCCACCTTTTTAATACAAACACCAGAAAAATTAAATCAAAATCAAAATATAAAAAAAAACAAATAAAAAAGAAATCTTTAATCAAAATCGAGGGTTTTTGAGAAAGATGACGAGACTTTGTGGAACCAGATATCTCTTGCAGCATCGAGGGCTTCTTCGTAATTGGAAAATGGTGTAATAGACGCCATTTCTTGCGCGAATCTGACACTCCCACAGCACGCCAGCCACTCTTTTTCACCCAACACGATCGGCGATTCCATTTTTTTTTTTTTTTTTTAACCCTAAAATTGGAGTTCGATTTCTATATATTTGGAACTTTTTCGAGGGGAAAAATAGTGGGGGGGAACGAAATCAGAATTGGGGAAATTTTGGCCGTGACCGATGGAGTGTTTTTAGGGATTTTGACCGGTTTGACTCCATTATTGAATGTAACAAGTTTTGTATCTACCAAATTCAAATTCAGAACATTCTTTTAGGGAAATATATTTTTTTTGGGTAAGAATGTATTAAAATACATATTACATTATGATTTCCAATTTATAATGATTTCCAAAAAATGATTATTTTCGGAAAGTATACTTATAATATTAATATTCTTATGTGATTTTGTTTGGTGACAGAAAAATTGGAAATTTTTAATTCCGTCGGATCCGATACGAAATTTTTCCCCAATTTCTTTTCACATAATTGGATTTTTATTTTTTTTTCTTTTTGCACCCTGATAAAGAAAAGTAGAATTTTCTAAAAGTGTTAATTTCGATTCAACCCGTCCGATTTCCACCCCTAAATTAAGTTGTAAGTCTCGAGATAATTTATTTTTCATTTTTACTTCTGTTTTGGGCCTTAAAAAGAATTGGGCCATCACCACTTTAATTTGGTATTTTGTTGGAAGATTGAATGAAACATTGGAAAAATTCATTACTTTTAATTCAATTCATAGGGTTATTACGATTTTAGAAAATTTAATATATCTCAATGATAAAATTAATTGATTAAAATGGTCCCGCAATGGATAACCTGCTGATTGAAGCAAGTGAGCATGTGTTAATTGGTCCAATTCGAATCTCATTGTTAATGGTCGATTTCTTTATATATGGTTAACCTAGTGTGGTTTAAATCTCTCGTATGGTTTGCAAATTATTATACGATAGTACAAACTTCTGAACATTTTCGCGTTTCGATACATATTTTGAATATGTTCATATGAAAATATATATAAACATATTATATATAAATAAAAACTTTTATATGTTCAAATAGCATATTTATAAATATACTCCTATATTTTTACATTTACATGTTTTCCCCGATTTCTTGTATTCGCATTTTTAGATATGCCGTTTCCCCATGTGCTACATAGATTGTTTTATATTCACATATTTCAAGATTGTTTCACAAAAATGAAAGCACCACTGAAACAAAGATGTGACAATTTGTAGTGCTTTAAAAAGATTTAACAGCATGAGTTAATTTCCAGTAAACATGGCTGAAATATTTCCATATCAATTTGTGCAAAAAATACCATTATCAATTGAATATATATTTTCTCTACCAAAAAAAAAATTGAATATATATTTACTTTTTTTTTCATTTCTTAAAGCATACATACCATTATAAATTGAATATATATTGAGCATGAATAACTATATTTATATTTAAATTAGACATTACAAATACTATGCAACCATACTACGCTAGAAATTATCAAATCGAAAAATATTTTTTTCGAATAGTGAAAAATCAATTTCGATTCCCAAATTTTTGAAAATTGAAATTCCACTTGGATTTCAAAAATTTCAAAAACCAATTATGCAAATATCAACTATCTAAATTATTAAAAAACAAATGTGCAGTTCTTTTGTTTATCATGAAATTTATACAAAAGAAAAATATTAATGTTGTTCACTTGAAATAAATGTAGATTAGATAACATAATTAATAATCATTATTAAAATATTGAAAAGGAAAAAAAGAAAAAAAAAAAAAAAAAAAGAAAAAGGAGGAATCAGCAAGGTGGGGTTATCCTGTGTGGTAACGCTCCCTGTGGCCCACCATAGCGGCCACTTTCCTGCCGACCATTTCCCCACTTCTTTTTCAATTTACCAAAATCTGACCGCCCACTTTTCCCAGTCAGATACAATTTGCTATACGCTATAAAAATTATTTAAAAATTAATAATAGTAATAAATAAATAAATAAAATCACAAATTACACGTTTTATTATTAGGTAAAAAGTTTAGAAGTGATGCAGTATAATAATAATTATTCAAAATAAAACATTTGGAAAACCTGCATGATAGTAATTTTTTTATTTATGGCTAAATTACGACCAACCCTGAGGTAAAGTTAAATTACAAAAAAATCACTTATGTTTGGGTAATTATAACCAGCCATGTACTATGAATCTTCTTACGCGTCTACTTTTATAGTGTCAAATTCAACAAAATCTTCTAAATTATGTGGAATGTTCTCTACTTTGTACTCGTTTTTGTGCAAAAAATGCAGTTTCTGCTGCACCACAATCGGATATTTACAAGCTAAAAGGCACATCTTATGATCATTTTACTTCAAAATGTGGATCTCGAATGTGATAAAACGGTTAACTGAAAAATATTTCACATAATCTAGAAAATTCCACTAATTTGACATCGTAAAGATGAACGTGTAAGAAGATTCATTGTTGAGAGATAATTATAATTACCCAAATATAAGGGGCAATTTTGTAATTTAACATTATATCAGGGGGTGACTGTAATTTTACTCTTATTTGTAATTTGCTGATAAATATTAACTAATAGAGATACATTATATATGTAATATGCATGTATTAGTTAATTTGTTGAAGCTTATATTAAATTATTGCACCGACGCTCATAATTAATTAAACAGAAAAGTGATATAATCAATTTTTTTTTAAGGTCAAATATTATTCTTAATATGATATATATTACCAAATTATTTATACACGAAGAGGAATTTAAGATAATGAAAGTCACACGTAAGCACACAATTATTAAGTTTCTAATTAATTAAAAAAATGATCAACCCCTAACTAACACTTATCCACAGCATGCGGGGTATTTTGTATGACCACATTGGTCATGCAACTGGTGATAAATAATAATAAATAATAAATATTATTTATTGTAACATTTATATAAGACAAAACAAATAAAGTCATTATTAATTAAGTAATAACTAATTAACTAAAACAAATCAAACAAACAAACAAAAAAAAAATGAATTTGTTAAGCCCTAGAGAGATAAAATTTCTAAAAATTGAAACGATATTCGTAAAATTGAAATCATATATTTACTTTGCGATAAAGGACTTTTAAAAATTGTCCATATTCGTTTAGATTGAATAATGAGATTGAATAAAGAGTTTAAAAATAATTAAAATCAAGTGATGCTATGTAATTGTACTATTGTTGCCTACTTGCCTCAAATGAAAGAAAACTTATATTAAAATATATAGTTTCTTTTTACCCTAATTTTGCTAGATATTGTCCTATGTTAAGGCATCCCAAAAAGATAATAAGAATAATTTATTTGTCACAAATTGAGTATTTTAATACAATTTATGAAATATATTTATATAAATATATAATACTATATGTTTTTTTTTTTTGATAATAATACTATATGTGTAGAAGGGGCCAAATTGAGGTTAGTGGAGGGTCAGCATCCAATACTTAACTCAACCTTATTCAAATATGTAACAACAAAAACCAAAAAGATAGCCACCCCACTTTCATTTCTTCATAATTCTTTTCCTTAATTATTAGGGTAAATTACAACCCACCCCTGAGATATGGTTAAATTATAAAAAAACCCTTCATATTTAGATAATTACAAATGTCCCCTCACCTTTGAATCTTCATACACGTCCACCCTTATGGTTCCAAATTCAACATAATCTTCTAGATTATGAAGAATGTTCTCTAGTTTGTACTCGTTTTTTGCAAAGATGCAGTTTATGATGCACCACAATCTGATATTAATACAGGCCGAAAAACACATGTTATGATCATCCTGCTTCAAAATGTGGAGCTCGAATGGCATAAAACGGGTACAAATTTGAGAATATTCCATATAATCTAGAAGATTCCACTAAATTGACACCGCAATGGTGGACGTGTAAGAATAATTATAGTTGAGGGGTGGTTGTAATTAAACAGAAGGGGTTTTTTCGTAGTTCGACCATACCTCAGGGGTTGGTTGTAATTTATTAATAATTCATATTATCAAAAAATATTTTATTTTATTTTTAAAGGGAAAAAAAAAGGAATATCTTTCTCCATAACCATAATCCATGAAATCTTCAAACCACATTTCTTGCTGTGCTGAAACTCTTCAGCACAAAGCAAACTCATCAAAACCTTAAAATAAAAACTCCCATATTTAATTTCTTCCATAGATAATAATTATCATACTTTTCTTCAAAAAAAACAAAAAAATGGTCCAAAAAAAGCTGTCCAAAATTCTCTCCCTTCAAACCGATCATATCAAAAATGAAAACCAGTTGCAGGATTTGAAGACCAAGAAGATGAAGAAATCGGGTTCCATCAAGCGCCCGGAGCTCGACACCACCCTCATCTCCATAAGGCAACCCGCAAAACCTCCGCCGCCGCCGCCGCGCACCACCCCGAATTACATGAAGCCCACCACCAGCTCCGATGCAAGAAAGCCTCAAACCAGCCCTGATAGTTCAAGTCTGCGCAGAAGAATTTCCAGCACCTCCGCCGGCGGCGGCGGCGGAAGTAAACCGTCAAAAACAGCGGCGAGGGCTTTGACCAAGAACCCTAGTTTCAAACCACCGAGAAAGTTCTCCTCCGATTCGAAGAGAGCAACGTGCTCGTCAACTTTGAAAGACTGTAAATTTCCAGCTTTTCTCGGGCTTAACAATGGCGGCACGGAATCGGAGGGCACCTCCAAGATTAAGGTGTGTCCGTACACGTACTGTTCACTCAACGGCCATCACCACCGCCCTCCTCTGCCGCCGTTGAAGTGCTTCTTGTCTGCACGGCGGCGCGTGATGAACAAGAACAAGAACCAGAGGAGCGTGAAACTCACGACTATGCAAGATGATGGTTTGAAGAACTCGTTGGTTAGTAGTCCTCTTGTTGTTGAAGAGGAACAAAATCAAGATTTCTTCGTCGAAATCTACTGCGAGGACAGAGTCGAAGACGAAGAAGGAAAATCGGGAATATTCGTGAGTGATTTCGAATTAGGCTATGATTGCGACTACGAGTACTGCTCGGGCGAAGAAGAAGTCGAAAATCAGCTAATCGATGGCGATTTGGTAATAAAAGCGGACGACGAGAAAGGAGGGCCGTTGGATGAGTTCTTGATTGATCAAGTTTCGCAGGAGTCGTTGGATGAAGATAGTTTGAGCTCCGATGCGTTGAACGAGAGAGGAAGGCCGTTGGATGAGTTGTTGATGGATCAAGCTTCGCAAGAGTCGTTGGATGAAGATAGTTTGAACTCCGATGCATTTTCTACAAGTGATGAAGATGTTGAATCGAGTGATTCATCATCATATGATGCAACAAGCAATCAAGAAGAAGATTATTGCATAGTCGAAAACGAAGCTCCGTTGGATAATCCGATTCAGATTGAGTTGTGTTACGAAGATCCATCAAAGGAACCTCTTTCCGAGGTTGCTTTAGTAGTACTAAAGTGTACCGAATCCGATATTCAAACTGCAGAAACTGCAGCGGATCGAACTGGAGGGAAGTGCAAGAAGAACCCCGTAGAGGAAACGGATGATGAATTGGGGATTTTCGACCCGCGCGGCCCGAATTTCTTGGAGTTGGAGCCCGGCCCGGAAGGAGAGAAGGTTGATCTTCGGCATCAAGATCTCGACGAAAGGAAAAATTCCGAAGAATGGATGGTGGATTTTGCACTGAGACAGGTGGTTACAAAACTCGGCCCGGCTCGAAAGAAGAAAGTTTCTTTGCTAGTTGAAGCCTTCGAAAAAGTTATGCCGATAAATAAATTCGATCGTCGTTTGAGGCACGCCTCGGGATTCGATCAGGCGAGGCAAATTCAGGCATGCAATTGATCATTCAATCACTTTGGTAAGAAAGAATATATAACTATTAGTATTTTATTTTATTTTTTATTATTTTCTTTTTTATGATCAAATAAATGTCATTTGTTGTTGTAGGAGATTTGAAGAGGAAGAGAAAACTCAATGTTATAAGTATGCTGCAAGTTTGTTTAATATATATATTTTTTTAATTTATTAATGTAATAGAAGGCTGAAACAGTTAAGATTAAGGTTAATTTGTTTGGTGTTTGCAAGGTAATGTTGGTTGGATTAAGAAACATTAATGTTAATTAGTGTGTGATTAGTGTGTTATTAGGAGAAGCCCTCCATAGTTATAACTTGTGTTACTTAACATTATTACAGTTTGATTTGCTTTTCATAGTCATGATTTTAGTTAACTGTTTTTCATGTTAATCTGAGAAAATCCCACTAAGTTTATGATTTTGCTGCACCCGATGAATTACATCAGAAAGTAGTATTAGTATTTTAGCTATAGATCTGCGCACAATCACACGCACATACATGTGGATATGTGTAACGTTTTGACACGTAAGCTTTCGAATCAAGATTCTCCAATTTGCAAACTATGTGAAAATGAAAGGTTTAAGAGTAACCTCATTTTTTTACTAATCCAAACAAAATTGTTCACATTGATCATTTACTGAATTAACCATTAAAATGCCTAGATATATACACATGTATAGATAGATATAGATAGATATATATAGATACAGATATAGATGGTTTCAGCTGCCCCAAACTAACTGGAAAATATTTTTGCTGGCAGACCCATTGATCAAGTTGTTACTCTGCCTCTTGAGCATTTCCTCTTGTGCACAAACATCACCATCCTATGCATAAATAAAATCAAAACACGAGACGGGTGTGTCTTGTCGATCCGACATTGAATCACAAATCACGAAACAAACTGGAAATAAAACAAAATTAATTTTTTTTTTAGTGGCATTTCATGTTTCAAACTCGATTTTTACATTTATACAAGAATCGTAAGTTGATTAGTTGGACCCTGTGGTATCCAAACCACGTTGCTAGGAACCTTTGGGAAATGAAACATATATATATATATATATATATATATATATATATATACGTTTATTGATCTTTTACGAAAATGTAATGCTGGATAGGTATATCGAGAGAGAACTTACGAGACGAGAGTATGCACGAGCGAGAGAAAGCAATGTTGGATACATATCTAAAACAGCAAGAGCAGTGTCCTCTGTTACTTGCGGAACCTGCGTTTCATTAAATACTCGAGAGTTATCAGATTTTCCATATTACCACAATGACGAAAGTAGCACGAGATAACATAATGCAATGCAATCCTTTTCGAAACTTCTTTAAATCACTAACTTTGCATTTGCTAACTGGCTTCAATTACAAAGCCGGAGAAACAACTAGAGTACCAGAAAAAAAAAAAAAAAAAAAAAACAAAAACAAAAACAAAAACAAAACCAGGAATTCTGCTGTTAACGATTGTCCAAATTAAATACATACAATTATATGAATATTGGCTTGGAAAAATAAACAAATATGCGGCCTATATGTTTTGACCTGTAAGTATACCTGCATGAGTTGGATAGCAAAAACATCGCGAACGGTCATTTTATCCAACTCTTGACACATTTTGATAAATTCATCAAAAGGTGGGCAAACCGCAGCACACTTTTCCTCGGGATCCAAAGATCTGTAGTATTGGTTTATTGATTGAGTAAGATAACCGTACTTTTTCAGTGTGTCTGCTAAGCCACTTGTTCTTTGCACATCAAATCCCTCCAAAATCTCAGTCGTGAAGCAACTACAATAAGCATTTTAGATAAGTCCCAACAAAATTTGTAACCAAAACATGATGCTTTTAAAATTTAAGCAGACAAAATAAAAAATGCAGCCTAGAAGTTGCTAGCATTGCTTACGCTGTTTTGATGCTTTCAGCTGCCTCTGAGGAATTTGGATCACCTTCGACTAGATATATCATCTTCTTCAGCCCGCATCTCTTTCAAATAAAAAAAAATTTAAAAATTATAAAAGGAGGAAACAGAAAGTAAAAAGTCTGTTAATGATCGTTCATAAACCTCAGTTTCTTTAAAGCAGGGAGAGAAAATTAACTTTTGAGGAATATTGACTGTATATAATTACAGAGTGATATACAGACAGTAACTGTGAGTTAAATTTAACAAGGAAAAGGAGCAATAAATATTTTTACAGCTTGCTTTAAACAAATTGGAAGCTTTTGTGAGTCCAATTTGGGACCTCGACTACTTGGATATATAGTATCCATGTTCTAACTGTAAAATTCTAAGGGAAAAAATAGCACTTGGATTTTTTGAAAATAAACATTACCACCAGCCGCATTTTCTGGTCCCGATATCTATTATCCCTGATTGAGTGGCGCAAGTCATCAATGTTCTTCCTTTCAACAATAAAGTCAAGAACGTATTCACTACCCATATACTTGTGACGAGCTATCCAAATGCCGTCACCGACAGGCAACCTTCTGATCTGTAAAAGGAGTCAAAAGTTAAATCATCAGAGTTACCAGATTTTTATGTGCATGTGTGCGCTCGTGACTTCTGGTTTTTAATTTAAATAAAAATATTTTATTGGTTATAGTATAGAAATTTTTAGAAGTTCATGGAACTATATTTGCAAAGAAATGATATTAACAAAAACGTGAGATGACAGTGTTTGTGTTGGGTACAAAACCCAATAAAATGTGCTGACCTCTATTTGAATTTTAAATTGAGAACATATATTCTCTATAATTTTCCTGGAACGTGACCTGCAAATAGAATAAATAGATAAGACAAACTTAGACGGTCTAAAAAATGACTATAAGAATGCCAAAACTAAAGAAACAGCATGTGAAGCGGATAAATGTAAGAGACCTTGCAGAAGGATGAAAAAACAAAATGTATCTCATGGTATTTACTGTGTACTTCTATGACTGCACTCACCCTTTAGTAGCAAATTGCTCGCGATTGTCTAATATTAAAATTACTTCATATAAATCCCCAAACTTTTCTCCAAACGCCAAAGGCGGCATCGGCAAAGTATTTGGTTTAGATTCTGATCCTCGCATGCCTAGCTTGTTAACTGCATAATCCGTTTTAGATTCTGATCCTCGAATGTCAAGCTTGTTCACTGCGTAATCCTGAAAATCCCATAGAGAAAAAGAAAATGAAGAAATGGTCTAGACATCCATTATATTTCTTACCATAATCAGACCCCGGCACCTTAAAATTTAAATTGAATCTTAACATGAATGAATGATATCTACAAGATAGATTAAACATTAAAGTAATGGAACATTTTTTCATTATACAATCAACAATTATATGCCAATTTTAGCACCAGCAATGACAAACTAAAATAAAACTTACTGTAGATGAGCAAGCTTTCATAGTACAAGAACTTCCTCCAAAATCATGGCGAATCGATGTTTTTTTGTTACCACATGCAGCTATGGCACGTGGCTGCATAATTTCAATATCGTAAAACCCTGCTTGACCTGACATTTTTTCGAAGGCACAAATGTGAGGTTATAATGACAAGCCTAGACAATCTTCTAGAGAGAGAGAGAGAGGGAGAGAGAGATTGCTACCACCTGTGTGTTGGAATGAACGGGGAGCAGCAATATGGTCATCTGTTATAGATATAGGTGCTGAAGTTGAACCATAAATCTCATCTTCTCGAAGGCGACAAAGAACAGTTGGCCAAAGTGAAGATATATCCTTTCCCTTAGATGTTTCCATAACCTCAGAAACCGCACGGATACTTTGTTGCCGAGAAAAACCCATCTTGACAAACTACCAAAAAAATTAAATGAAAGAACTTCAATGAAAAATAAATAAATAAATTGTACACCTTTAAATACTTGGATTTTACTGATGCCCGAAATTATGAATTACTTAGAGTTTAAACTAACGACTTCCCAACTCAGCTGAAATAAGTGAGCTATATTATTGTAATTCTAATAAATAAGAAAGAGCGAAATAACGATTAAGGAGTTTGACTCCTAGACTATGCCCAAAACCTAAAAGAACTCGCAACCTTAATGAATTTAGGATAGACCTTGTCAAGATATTCAGGCGGCACATCTACAGATTTCTTGGACTTGTTCAAATTAATAGGGGCTTCTTTTTCAACTGATACACCGACAGCAGTTAAATCTGGCAAGTCTCTTTGTATATCAACTGTCAGTTTGTCTCTTTGGTCAGAATTTGAACATCCTTTCAAACCGTCCAAATTCTTACTCGGGTCAATCATTCCGGATCTCAAAAGACATTCACGCGCTACTTTCTTCCCTTCTTCTGTCAGCATATACCTGCATCACATAGTAATCAAAAGCCCATAAGATTTTAACAGTTACAACAACAATAATATCCAAAGATTGGACTGGATCCACCATTCCAGTTCCGAAAGAAGTCCTTGGGCATAAATTGAATACGATTTTGCTTCAATATGCTGTCCATTTCACAAACTATTGTCATTGTTGAGAGAGATAATTAGATGCACCATAAACTTGGTGTCCATGTGAGACATTGTGTGAACATTCGGGCTCATGCAATTAAATAGAAATAGTCATGTAGTTAAAAGCCTCATCTAACCTACATTGCAAGAAGTATAATATGTAGAATAGCTTTAATAGTATAAACTATAAACTATACTAAATATTTTCTGTGCAAAATTATCCAGACCAATTAGTCAAGAAGTACGATATTATACGTCTTAAACTTTTACAGAAGTCTCCTAGATTCAATCCAGTAGTCAACAGGCAAAAAATGAATGTTGGGGTAAACCAGACATGATATTCGTTCACAATGGTAAACAATTGTTATTCTACCACGTTGTCGTTAAATCTTCTTCATGTACTTCCGAGCCGTTAAGCCTATAACAATCATTACATATTACTGGTTCTATGATTAAGTTCATAAAAGTGCACAGATCTCATCACAATATGAGATACTAAACTGTCTAACGCTGAGTAGATCTAAGGCCCACGGAAAGTAAATTAGATAAGCACCTACCAACGTACAATCCAGGTGGCAATCCAGATGTTTATGTTAATTCCCTCTTCTAATATTAGTCTATTCAGTGTTAGTCCGCTTATGGTAGGCCTAATGCTAGACATTGTAGGTACCGTTATAAGATGGGGCTGAAGTGATTGAGTAAGCATACTTGGCCGGGCAGCTCGACTTCACAACAAGGCCTCTAGTTATCAGTGTTTTCATGCAGCTCCATCCAGTGTACCAATCTCTAGGCGAGCTTCCAAAACTTCCAGCTTTCCCTTTTGCTTTATCTGGCCTATAACATGAAAGAGAACTTGATCAAAACTTAATAGAGTAACCTAACCAGATCACCAAGATTGTTTCGTAATCTAATACATCAAAATTACATAATTGGCACACGAGAAAGTCCACTTGCTTCAGCTGCATCGATGATTTCCTTTTTACGCATAAATTCGTTTTCATTTTCTGTTCCCCTGCACCAAATCAAGATCATTTTAGTAATCGGATGAACAAAAAAGAAAAAGATAGCTGATAATGCGAAAAAGGATAGAGCCCGAAAAGCAAAAAAAAAATACTCTTATGATGCTGCCCATTTACCTGAAGAGTGTAATAAGTAGAGCATAAGCAACAGAATTCTTTTGTGGTACATAGCGCTTTTTCCCCTTATTCTTGTCTCCTATCAATTTTCAGTTGGTAAGAGTCAAAATCAATAAGAAATAATTCATTACATATTTGAATCAATGAAAAACACCCATATTTTTATCCTCGTATATGCATGTTTTAAGAAATTACCCTTTTTGTTCATGTCCTCTTCCCCAGAAGAACCAGAATCTGTATCAAAATAGCCTTGCATCTGCTTCAAAATCCACTTACCAACGCCCCTGTAAGTGTAACACAAGAAATTCCAATAAAACTAAATTCCCTTTTTTCACTTTTCTTATCCTGCACTGAAAGAACTGTATGAACAACAAAATTCACAATACTCCGAAAATGAAAATCCTGGCCGAGTAACTTATTGATGACAAAATAGTACAAACACAATACCCCAGAAGGAAATAAATGAAAAACAAGCTCTTAGGTCTACTCACATATCTACAAAAAGTCCACACATACGAGAAGAATACATGACCTACGTTCTCGAGGAAAAGAAATACTAACAACAACAGAACTTCGATTATAAGGAACATTTATAAATCAAGCCACGCAGAGAAATGAACTAGTATCAATAAAAAGAAAAATCAAAACCCAAATTATTTAACAAAATCCTACATAGTTTCGGCATTCCTCAATGATTTCAGTGATAGAAACAAAGCCAATCTTTAAGATAAACTCACATTCAACATTTCAACTCATGCAGCAAATAGAACACACTGAACTATTTAACAGCATGCAAGAGTTTTTTAGGGTAATTTACAATCTTTAATAAATAAATAAATAAATAACTCCTGCAATTCCCACATCCCAGAATCAATCCACCAGTAGTAACAAAAGAAATCAATGAATCCCTAAAATGGAAATAAAATAATTGAAGAGCAAAATTTCGAAAACATTTTCACTCACTTGATCTGGGACAAGTCCTTAAGATTTGTAATTGGGGTTTTGCAATTACAGATGTTCGAATGAGCCTTGGAGAGCGTGAGGTCCATATTTTCAGAAATACCCTTGGCGCTCTGGGCCAACTCTTGCCGCTTGTTGAACAGATACGCCGCCACCTCTTCGTTTTCCGGACACACCGCCTTCTTTCGATTCTCCATTTTTTTTCCCCCAATTTCTGAGTTTCGAATTTAGGGTTTAGAAATGTAATTCATTTTGGGTTTTGATTTCTCCAATTTTCATATGAGAGAACTGGCGCCAGGGTTCCGTGATTTGAAGTTGCTAGAGTATGGGAAATACAAGAATTCCAATTTTGCCCCTTGATTAAGCTTAATTATAAAGGGTAAGTTACAACTACCTCCCTGAGGTAACGTCTATTTACGAACAAACCCGTCATATGTTTTGAAATTACATCCAACCTCCTTTAGTTTGTAAATTTCTTACATCCACTTCCCTACAAAAGAGAGTTAATGTAAGAAATCTACAAATTGTAGGGGGTTGTGTGTGATTATGAAAAAATAAGGAGGGTTTTCGTAAATAATCCTTACCTCATAGGGACGGTTGAAATTTACCTCTATAAATCGAGTAATGTCAGCGCATGTTTATTCAAATTTGTATGATTTTTTATCGGTTTTTTTTAAGTTGTGTTGGAAATAAATTTGATAAGTAATCTAGTCGAGATCGAACGAGTTTTAATCCAACCGAGCTCAAGTAGATTGATTTTTTTCTTCATAGTTTATCATTTTTTTTCCGAATTGGATTGGGATCAAACTTCATTGCTCATCGAACGAAAATATGTGTTTATGTTGGTTTGTTATGTTAACAAACCAAGCAGAAAACTAGCTTTTAACAAACAATCTCGAATAAAGTATCAAGTAACTTGGTTTGATTTTCAGCCTAATCTCGATTATGGTTCTTGTTTATGTCTATAATCTTGAATTATGTAGAGCATACAAGGAAAGACATTTAGGTGGTGTTTCCAAAAGCTTGTGTAAAAGCATAAGTTAGTGATTGTGATTTAAGTTCGCATTAAGTGTTTGTTTCTAAAGGTTGTAAGTGTTTGCAAATTAGTTGGAAAATCAACTAAAACAGAAAAAACAGGTACATGACTGCTTTTAAAATTATAGCTTAAAGCAGTTTATTTTAAGAGAAGCAAAATCTAAAGCTTGTTTTGCAAACACGTAAAAACAGATTATACGCAGAAAAAAACGCATAATCTATTTCTATAAGCTTTTGCAAACACCACCTTACTGGACATGAAAATTGATTATTCTTTTTTAAAGACAACTAGTAACTTCTAAATTGGATGTTAGAGAATTATCAATCAAACTGTTACGACAAGTTACGACAAGCCAACTGTTGTGATACTTGATTCGAGATCGTAAATGAAGAAAAATAAACTTACCAAAACATAAACATAAACACGAAAAACTCATTATATAACTGCCTCAAGATCGCATAACAGTGTAATTACAATTAGCAGCACTTTCGCGCTACATGAACAAAGAATCTCATAAAATATGACCCCCAATAACCCGATATTCACCATTACGTACAATACTTGAAAAAATAACAAATCTCTATATAAAATATTAAATTAACGTATATTGTGTACCGTCAAGCCTCATAACAACAATTTTGTTGCCTATGTTTAATCGAAGCTCGAGGATCGACTCCATCTACCCTTCAAGTAATCCTCCACCGATATATTCTGTTCACCGCTGCTAACGGAATTCGTGTCGTCTTCCAAATCAAGCAACGCAAGATTAATAAATGATTGGATATTATTCGTTGATCGTTCGCCATTGATAGCATTATTAACCTCGTCTAACGAACTAACTTCTTGCCTTGCCCACTCAACGATTTCTTGATCTCCTTTCAGGAGTTTGAGTACCTGTTTTTCCAGTAATTAATGGCCAAATATAATATAAGTGAACGGATCATATACACACACACACACATATATATATATATATATATATATATATATATATATATATATATATATATATATATATATATATATGTAACGGTATTTCGAAATATGAGAAATATGCTTACACGGCTAATATCGGGACGCGATTGAGGAGCGTGTCTAATACAAAGGGTTGCAGCTAAGACCATTTTCTTGAATTGATCACCGTCGCACGCATTAACCAGATTGGGATCTTGCAATTCTGAATTGTTTCCTTCTTTCAATACGTGTTTTGCCTGAAAATAATCGACAGTTATGTATCAATTGAATTGAATGAAAACAAAAAAATATATAACCACTTCAAAATTGATGTACTGAATAAACATCGAAAAACGCAACTATGAAACACTCACCCACATTACCAAACTTTCCTCGCCCTTTGGAAGTGCATTGTCGATTGGCTTTCTACCCGACAAAAGCTCAAGGAGTACAACACCAAATGCATAGACGTCGATTTTCTCGTTCAGTTTCTCATTCATAAAATACTCTGGAGCTAAGTAGCTGCCGATAAAAAAAAAAAAAAAAAAAAAAAAAAGCGTTATTCATTAATTCACAATGACTACATATTATACCGCGAAAGTGAGAATAAAACTCACCCGAATGTTCCAGCCACATCAGATGTATCCATATTATGCGAATATGTTAAAGCCCAAGTAGCAAGTCCGAAATCCGATAGCTGTAGGGCCAATCGAGCGTTACCGTGATGAATAGTACAGCAAAAACGAAGGCAATGAGTAGTAGATAGAAAAAAGCAGCGATAAGTCATGTGGTACCTGTGGCTCAAAATCATCTGAAAGAAGGATATTTGAAGATTTTACATCTCCGTGGATAATTGGTTCGGCTGTATTATGTAAATTGTCGAGTGCTTCAGCAACTCCCAAAGCAATCTTATATCTCTCGTTCCAACCAAATAGATTTCCAGATTGTGGAGAACCTGATCCAGAGCAAATAGATTAATTGGTATAAAATTAAGAGTGGTGCTAGTACATCATCAACATAAAAAACCGGAAAAAAACAAACTATGAACATACTGTGTAGATTCTTCTCCAGGCACCCTCTGGATAGAAGTTCATACACCAAAAGTAGTCGGTTTTCATCGTAAGAGAAGCCAACTAAAGATATGATGTTTTTGTGATGCAAAGATGTAATGATTTCAATTTCCGAAACAAAATGCTTCAATATATCCTCCGATGGCTTCAAAACTTTCACTGCTATCTCCGTGCTTCCCGATAGACACCCTCGATAAACCCGACTGCTTCCTCCCTTTCCAATCAAATTTTCTGAAAAAATTATAATTAAAATGAGAACACGAAAAAAGTGAGTGGGAAATGACGTAATAAAGAAAAGTTGACATAACGCACCAGGTTTAAAGTCATTCGTTGCTATTAAGAGTTCCTGGTAGCTAAAAAATTGGCATTTCGTTGAGTACTTCTCTCTTATATCTTTAAGCTGTTCCGCAGCTGAAGAAATTACAATAGCTCCGTTATCTTCATGCAAATCTAAGCAACAGTCATCCCTATTGGACGCGCTACTCTGTTTCTGATCGGGATAAATAGTTGCAACAGATTGTCTGCTTGGTAGTCTCAATATCCATTTCATTAGAGATGACTTCTTAGTCGGAGCAGCTTCAGATACTTTGCTGCCGTGTAAAAAAACCCGGCGAAGTAGGCCCCACCCCGATTTAGATTCGAGCATTTCTTGGGTTTTGATGGGCACTAGAGCCATTGGGGTGCTCTCACTTTCACTCCTTGATAATGACGATAAAACTTTCTGATGCGGTTGACTCAAAGGGTTTTTGGACACGGTCTTCCTCCTTTTGAATCTTGATTCTGATTCCGACGCGTCAAACTTTCCAAACTCGAGGTCGAATGAAGAGGTCGATTCTCTTTGGAACACGATCTTACCATTGTCGACACACATAAGTGATGCATTCTTTTGCAGGCTCTTGGTGCAAGATTTGGCAATGGAGATCCTCGATCGAATTGTGCGATGGACTCTTGAAGTACCAACTATTACAGTTGTTGCACCACATGATTTCGCCTCCCTTGACAGGATTTTATGAACCGGATTTCCTCTACATACCTTCAACTTTAGATCCACCTGCACGGTTTAGTAGATTTCTTCAGGCCTACTTATTTCAGATAATTACAGATACAGTAGAACCTCGATAAATTAATAACCTCGATGAAATAATAGTTTCTCCCGGTCCCGACTCGGTGAAGACGTGTTAAATTATTAACTCGATAATTTAATAATTCGCTAAAATAATAGAATTTCCCTGATCCCAGCTGTATTAATTTATAGAGATTTAACAACATAAAAATAACATATAGCTACGAAAGGGAAATTCAAGCTCCAGAAAATTAATGAACTGTAAAAATGGAAAGTAAATCAAGATCAAGGGATTAAAAACTTAATTGGTAATTCACAAATTTCTATATGAACTTCTAGATTCTAAAAATCACTTGCAACAACAATCGATTGTAAAACAAGAAAAAAATCGACTTCCATAATTACAGGTGAAAATGAAATATCAGAAAATACCTGTTTTAGGTGGCAGAAACCTTCATAAGCAGCCAGCACCGAATCAAAAGTCTTCACTAGCGAAAGCAAACTCGATTTATCTTCTCCGAATTCAAGTAAAAAAAATAATAAACCAGGAATTAAAATTAATCAGAAACCAAATAGATTAACAATTTTTTTGACATTTATATGAATGAATTTAGCTTAATCCATGGAAAATGTACTCTGGCATCTACTCTTCACGAGATCTCTCTCTCACACACAATACTACGTGAAAATACACACAGCGGATACACATCAAAACGGCGTCGTAACCACAACGAAAAAAAAACACAGTAAGAAATCCTCACCGGCGTTGCTGTCGAGGATGTGGAGAGCAACGACGCGATCGCCGGACTGCGCCACCTTAACTAGCGCCCACGTCAGCAGCTCTTTGCTCTGCGAGTCCAGCTTCACTCCCACCACCACCACCGCCGCGGCGGCGGCTGCTCCGCCACCACTGGAGTCCGGAGCTCCAGGAATCGCCTCCACCATTCTCGGTCCCAACGAAGAAACCGACAGATCGAGCAGAAGGCTTTGTCGCTCTACTTTCTCTCTCTAAAAGCAGGCATTTCTTTTTACAGCAAAAAAAATATTCCGTTTTGCGTCTTTTCGCTGCATTCGATGTATGGGGAAGACAAAACACCCCTCTTTTTCGGGATTGTTAAATATATAACGAACCAGAGAGTATCATTTACGAAAATAAATATAAATTGATTGCAAAAATGAATTAATTATCCTGTGTTGCTCGGACCACCGGGCTCGCGTGAGGGCTCTGCATTTGAGCCGTTGATGGATTTTATTGGGAGAATTACACTTTTCGTCCATCATATTTGTCCCAATTCCACTTTTGGCCCACCTTGTTCCAAACTGAACAAATTTAGCCTCCAATGTTCAATTTTAAACACATTTGATCCCCTTCGTCACGTGCCCGTTCGCATTTAACGGAAAACACTATTTTGGGACAAAAATGAAAATTTAAAATTGTTTTGGGGCTGGAAAATAATTAAAATTTTAAAGTATTATTTTTAATTATTTTTTTTTATTATATTTAGTATAATTACAAAAATTAATTGTAAATAATACTTTAACTTTTTTATTATTTTCCATCCCAAACAATTTAAATTTCAATTTGGCCCCAAAATAGTGTTTTCCGTTAGATGTGAACGGACACGTGACAGAGGGGACCAAATGTGTTTAACATTGAACCTTAGAGGTGAAATTTATTCATTTTGAAACAAGGGGAACTAAAAGTGGAATCGGACCAAACACGAGAGACGAAAAATGTAATCATCCCAATTTTCTTTTGTATTCCTTTTTTTTTTTTTTTCTTTGTGTTATATTGAATAGTGATATCATTTATTTAACTAAAATAAGAGGGAAATTGTTACCCAATATTCTCTACTGATTCCTACTAGGGTTTAATTTTGTCAAATGAATAATAATCGATCTTAGTTATTTAATATTATCACGAATAATCCCTAAAAAAATAGATTATTTATATGTTACATTCAGTGAAATTTATATTGGATGAATTTTTCCGGTTGATCTACACAACAATGTGGGTATACGTGTGTTTGTATGCTTAAAAATGGTATAAATATATTTAGTGTATTTCACCCAACGTAGCATAATATAATCAATTTAAGTTATTTCTGAAATTAATATCAAACATTAAATGGAAAGTAGTAGGCACTAGATATTATTTACATAAAAGTACGAGGTTATAAATGTATTTTCCATTTTAGCAGGAAAATAAAATTTATTGGGATCTATCTAAAAATTGACAAAGTACAGTTATTCGATTTTAAATAAATTTTAATAAAATTACTGTTTGGGTTGTGATTTTTTTATATGTTATCTTAACACACTAATTTCTTAAAAAAAAAAAAAAAAAAAAAAAAACAAATGCTCTTTATTGGATTTACATGCATTTAATGGTGAATAAAATTGAATATTATGGACAAAATTGTGATTAATTAGTCCAGTCTACCCATTTATTTTGGGTCAAAAACCAGCTTAATTGTGGGGCTAATGTTGCACTAATTTCAGGTCAAAAAAATCATTATTTTCTTTCCCAATGTTGTACTTTTTTTTTAATTCAATTTAACCATTTACCTTCAAACCCAAGTCATTGTTAATGATTATGAGTTATTACAACAAGAAAACCAATTTGCATGTACTTTAAATTTTCCAATACCAAAAAGATTAATAATATATATACTTTTTAAATATTAATTAAGGATGAAATTTGTTTTATTCTTCTTGCTCATTAGGTTTTCTCTATCGAATTAAATTAAATCGATTCTCTACTGACTAGTTAATTATTTAATTGGTAAGACGTTTGGTTCACTGGATTGAATCTTGTATTAAATATATTAATTTTTTGTATTATATATTATTTAGCTACAAAGAATTTTATTTAATAAAGTTAACATGTAATTTGAAGGATAATATAGTTTTATTTTATTTAGTGACCCCTATTAAATTAATCTCAAAGAGGAGGGGATACTGATTTAATAAAATAATAATATTTAAATAGCGGGTTTTAATTTTAGTAACGAGTTTGAAAAATGTAGAGTTTGTCAATCGAAAATGTTACCCGTCCCTACTATTTAATCAGTAGAACCTTCTAGCGTTAATCGAACAAACGACTGATCGACTAGTGAACTAAAATAAAATTATATTAAGATCTTTTGCTAATTTATAATTTTTATTTAACCAAATAAAGAAAACTATTTACTTTTCAAAGGACTTTATTAAAGTGAGTTTAGACCCAAAATGTGAAGTACAAACTTTTTAAGAAAAGAATAAAATTAAATTAAATCAAAGGTTAACTTTTTTCTTATCTAAAGCATAGTTCCCATGAAACCAAGTCATTATTAATTTATTACATCATTAAAACATATAATAAGACCATAGGTTAGCCAAATTTTATTCACACGCACTTCAACACGAACAAAAAATAATGGAATAATAACTATAATCAGTATGGAATAATTAGTTAAAAAGAGCCCCCAAGAAGTATAGTTAAAACTAAAGTAAGGTATCTTATAGTTAAAAAGTTTAAATAACACTTAACCCCTCATGATTTGAGTTTTGTGCACATGACCCCTTGTACTCTCAATATAAGCACACGACTCTTTATAGTTTGAACTTTGTGCATATAACCCCCTTGTACTTTTGATATAAGCACATAACCCCCTATGGTATTGCACTTTGTAAATAAATTATGCTCATTGGGAAGATAATTTTTAAAAAAAATACAAGAGAATTATGTGCTTATATTAAAATATAAGGAGTCATGTGCACATAATTCAAACTATAGGGGGCTGAATGCTATTTACCCTAGTTAAAAAGAGATGTTTTTCCGATTTGTGATTCCTAAAATCAATAAAGTCCAAACAATTAGGTCCAACGGGCTCGATAGACCCGGGCCCACCATTATGTGTATCCCGCCTTCCTAAAATATTTTCATCTATCTAGAAAACTTTACAAAGATACTATCTACAAGACCAGAATTTGCTTTACACAAGACAATATTTCATAAATAAATAATATTATATCATCTAATAATGAAATAATTGGGTAAATTATATGGCCACCCCTAAGGTAAGATCAAATTACGAAAATCTCCATTTTATTTCGGTAATTACAATCACCCCCCTCAATTATGAATCTTCTTACACGTACACCTTTACGGTGTCGAATTCAACATAATTTTCTAGATTCAGTGGAATATTCTCTAGTTTGTACTCGTTTTGTGCAAAAATGCAATCTTTGATGCACCACAACCTGATATTTACAAGCTAAAAGACACATCTTACGATATCATCTTGTTTCAAAACGTGGAACTCGAATGGGGAAAAACGGGTACAAGACGGAGAATATTCCACACAATTTAGAAAATTCGACTAAATATGACACTGCAAGGAGGGGACGTGTAAGAAAATTATGCATTTGAAATTTTTTCGTAATTTAACTTTAGCTTAGAGGGTGGCCGTAATTTCCCAATTTTAAACTATGAAAGACGATTTTGGAGGTTGCAGAACCAAAACATCAACATTTACGGATGTTGGATAGTAAAAAAAAAAAGAAAAAAAAGAGGAATCAACAAACAACCTGCGAAAATAGGCAAAACTTTCAACACCGATTTCGTATCATTCCTTATTCTTTTTATGTACGTTTTGCAAAGTAATAAAATACCGTAAAGTAAATCTGGGTCCTGCATTTAGCATGTTAGATAAAAAATAACAAATAACTATCGGGCAAAATACAATTTTGGTGTCTCATATTTGCACCGATTTCACATCTGGTATCCTATGTTCTCAAAAAACACATTTGGTTCCTCATGTTTTGAAAATTCAACACTTTTAGTCATTTATGCCAATTTTTCGTTAGTACTAACATGATCAAACGTGTGTCCATCACTGCCTTAACTGACGAAGTAACGGTAAATTGACGAAAATGACAAAAAATGTTAAATTATTGAAACATGAGGGACCAAATGTGTTTTTTGTGAACATGGAGGACCAAATGCGAAGTCAGTGTAAATGTGAGGGATGGAAGTGTAATATTCCCAATAATTTATCATTTGAATATAGATGAAAAAAATAAAAATAAAAAATAAAAAAATTTAATCATAAAAAAAGGGAATTGCTATTTGCGGTTTGAAAATTGCTATTTGCGGTTTATAACAAAACCCTCCAAAAAAACACTTTATATCTCTAAAACCCCAAAACTTCCCAAAAAAATCCAAACACTCCCCCCCAAAACGCGTAAAAGCTGCATTTGGGCGCCCGAGTTGGGCGTCCAGTGCAATTTTTTTTTTTTTTTTCTTTTTTTTAATTGAACTCCCAAGATGGGCGCCCAAGGCGTGTACGAACGCCCGGAACGAGCGGTCGAACACGTCTTGGGCGCCCATCTTGGGCGTTCGAACATTTTTTTGCGAAAAAAAAGCCCTACAAATCGATTTGTAGGGCTTTTTAACATGAAATTGGTTCCTAATCGAACGAGCCATTCATTTTCACATAAAGAGTCGAAATACTTCATAAATCGAAGCCCAACCT